CACCGCCTCCTCCGCTGCCTCCTCCGCCGCCTCCACCTCCGCCGCTGCCACCACCACCACCGCTGCCACCACCACCGCCGCCTCCGCAGCTGCTGCCACCACCACCACCACCCCCGCCACCACTCCCGCCGCCACCCCCACTCCCTCCGCCGCCTCCGCCGCCACCGCCACCGCCCCCTCCAGCTCCACCCGCACCCTTGCCCCCCTTGCCCTTGCCAGAGCGACGTCTCCCACTAGGGGCAGACGCCGCGCCGACCGACTCAAGACCAAGCAGGTCGGCAGCAGCAGCAGAGGCAACAGAGGGCAGCAAGGGGGAAGGAGAGCACCCCTCAAAGATGGGGGTGCGAGGGTCTCCACGAGAAGCTCCTACAGCGACTATGCTCTTCTCCGCTGCTAGGAGGGCCTTCTCGAGGACGTCGACGGTGAGGGTGGTGGGACAGACTGCGAGAAAGTGGTCCCTGACTACGCGAAGGGAGTCAGGGAGGCGTGCGACTACGTAGTAGAGAGTGATGTACATGGGGGGGGGTTCTTAGCGCAGAACTCAGCAGGAAGGGCGGCGCGGTAGCGAGTGTCACTAGTGCGGAGGTGCGTAATGAGGTCAGCGACAGTGGGAAAGGCAGAGAGGTCAGGAAAGAGGTAGGGAAGCATGAGACGGCTCAGTGCAGCAGTGGCAGGGGAGGAGTAGCGCGCAACTACAGCGTCATACAAGGTCTGAGCACTCTTGTACTGACTAAAGTGCGCGCGCTCAGAGGTAGGGAGGTGGCAACGCACAGCAAGACGTGCAGCAGCATCGCGCGTGGCCCACTGAGAGCGCACAGTGGGATCAGCATCAGCAGCAGGAGCAGGAGAGGCGCCAGAGGTAAGGTCAAAGAGAGAGAGGCCGTATGCCCTATCGCACTGTAAAAACAACTGCAGGTCGTCTACCAAGACCTCAAAGTCAATGGCGCGACCCTCAGCGTCAAAAGCTAGGACACTAGGGGTAGCCATGACGACGACAGCGAAGCAGTGCAAGCAGTAGGGGAAGAGCACGCAGTGACAGTGGGACTGTGCTCACCAGGCAGGGCAGGCCGGACAACTCTGCAGAAGGGCGGCTCGGCTACTCAGCGACTCGGCTGCTGGGCGGCTCGGCTCCCGGGCGGCTCGGCGGCAGGGCGGCTCTGGTGCAGGGCGGCTCGGCTCCCGGGCGGCTCGGCGGCAGGGCGGCTCGGGTGCAGGGCGGCTCGGCTCCCGGGCGGCTCGGCGGCAGGGCGGCTCGGGTGCGGGGCGGCTCGGCTGCACTGCTGCTCGGCTGCTACAGGTGGGTGGCTCGGCTGCTGCAGGTAGGGTGGCGGGGCCGCGAGATCAGAGGCAGCGGGGCCGAAGTAGCAGGGCCGGCAGGTGCAACGGCGGGGAAGGCGGGGCCGCGACTGGTGGAGCGGCGGGGCCGGCAGAGAGGGCCGCGGAGCCGCGGCTGAGCAGGCGACGGGGCCGGCGGCGTAGCGGGCGGCGGGGCCGCGTCGTAGTAGGCGGCTGGGCCGCGTTGTAGCGGGCGGCGGGGCCGCGTCAGAGCAGGCGGCGGGGCCGCGTCAGATCAGGCGGCGGGGCCGCGTCAGAGGTGGCGGCGGGGCCGCGTCAGATCAGGCAGCGGGGCCGCGTTAGAGGTGGCGGCGGGGCCGCGTAAGAGGTGGCGGCGGGGCCGCGTCAGAGCAGGCGGCGGGGCCGCGTCGTAGCGGGCGGCGGGGCCGCGTGAGAGTAGGCGGCAGGGCCGCGTCGTAGCTGGCGGCGGGGCCGCGATCGGGTGGCGGGGCCGCGACGTGGCGGCGGGGCCGCGATCGGGTGGCGGGGCCGCGATTAGAAGGGGTGGCGGGGCCGCGTCTGAGGGACGGCGGGGCCACGAGGGAAAGGGCGACTCGAGGGGTCGCTAAAAAAAAAGTGCGCGCCTCGGGGCGCGCTTCGGTGGGCCCTAGGCAACGTTCCCACAGGGAACTCGCTCTATACCATGTGAAACAAATGAGCAGGAATGAAATGACTAAGTCAGGGTTGGGTACAAATTCAACCCTAGAAAGCTGTACCCCATATGTGCTACCCCACTAAAGCCTACAAACATGCATCAGCTATAATGATCTGACAGTGAGTCCCTTCGAGTGAAAAAACAAAAGTTGATTTCCTGGGGTGCGGAGATGCGCGGACCGAAAGAAAAGAGGTTCTGAATACCAAGTGTTACAGGTGCAATGAATCGAAGAAGCGAGAATTGCACTAAGGTGTCAAAACGAGTACAAAAATGTGAGCGAAGGCATGAGCGAACATTTTGAGAAAACTGAAACGAGAATGGATGACTAAGGAATGAAAGTGATACAAGTATGCAACCCTAGCATTGTGTACCCCATAAAGGCTACCCCACTACAGCCTACACAACATTATAATTTGACACACCCCCATAGGCAAAGTGGGGGAGAACAAGAGGTCACAAGACCAGTCAAGCAAAGCAAAGTAAGCTCAGGGTGGATCACAAAGTCACCACACATTTCGAGCACAAGTTCAAGGCCAGAAGGCCAGTTCACATGCAGGAGCACATATATATATAAAAGGCTAAACAAGCAAGAGCAGGAGTATATATATGTGACAGTACAAGCAAGGTCAAGAAGTGAGCAAGTGAGGCAAGGCAGGCACAAGACCAAGCTGAGTACAGAAGCGCTGATGATCACAAGGCGCAAGTGCCTTGGTGAAGATATCAGCAGTGTTGGCCTAAGAGGCCACGTACGCAAGTCGCAACTGACCACGCTGCTGCAGCTCACGAGCAAGAAAGTAGCGGAGAGCAATGTGCTTCGTTCTGTGCTCCAGGCGCTGCTCCGGACACAAGGCCAGCATGGCCTTGTTGTCTACGTACAGCACTGGAGGAGAACGAGGCGGCTCTCCGAGGTCAGTTAGCAGGTAGGTGAGCCAGCGAAGCTCCTGAGCAGCCATGGCTCCTGCGTAGATCTCAGCCTCACAACTGGAGCCGAGAACGGAAGACGAGCGAGTAGCCCGCCACGAAACAGAGCCGGAACCAAGGCTGAAGGTGTAACCCTGTGACGACCGTTGTGTAGCCTGGTCGTCAGCCCAAGAAGCGTCTGCGTGCCCAGTGAGGACCACTGGACTCTGCCCTCCAAGCACTAGCCCCATGCCCGACGTGCTGCACAAGTAGCGCAACACCCTCTTCGCTGCAGCCATGTGCTCCGGTCTGTGTCTCCCAGGAGCAACATAGCGTGCAAGAATGCTAAGAGGGTATGCAAGGTCAGGTCGTGTGCAGGTCATCAGGTACATGAGGCAGCGAACAAGCTCTGGGTATGGGCCACTCGACTCTACGGACTCATCCGAAGGCAGAGCTGAGAGCGAGTGGCGAGTAGGCAGAGGAGTGGCCTGAGGCGAGGAGTACGTGAAGCCGAAGCGCTGAAGGACCTGCTGCACCATGTGTGACTGAGTCAGGGTAATGGTGCGGCGTGCTCTGTCCCGGGTGATCTACAAGCCAAGATAGTTGCGCAGTTCACCCAGGTCTGTGCACGTGTGTCTCTTCTGCAGCTCGGACTTTACGTGGGCGAGTCCAGCAGTGTCAGCAGTGGCAAAGACCAAGTCGTCGACGTACACGAGGATGTAGAACGGCGGCAAAGAGGTGTCGGTGCGCAAAAACAGCGACGGGTCGGCAGTAGAGGGAGCAAACCCAAGAGCCACAAGCGTAGTCCTCAGTGTGTCGTGCCACTCACGCGGTGCCTGGCGGAGACTGTAGACTGGCCGCCGGAGGCTCCACTGGGTGCCAGGAGGAAAAGTCCCAGTGAAGCCAGGTGGGCGGCGCAGCCAGATCTCCTCGTGCAGGCTACCCTGCAAGAAAGCAGTGCTGAAGTCAAGAGAGTGAAGCTCGTAGTCGCGCTGAGCGGCTATGTGCAGCAGCACCCGAAGAGTGGTCATCTTCAGGGTGGGAGAGAAGGTCTGAAAGTAGTCAACTCCCTGCCGCTGACTGAAGCCACGAGCCACGTACCGCGCCTTGAAGACGGGTGGAGAACATGGCGGCCGCTTCACCCTGAAGATCCACATGCCACTTACGATGTTCGCCCCAGGTGGGGGAACCGCGTCAACGTAGGTGCCTGTGGACTTCCAGGAAGCCATCTCTGCATCCATAGCTGCCTGCCACTGAGAGGAGTAGGGACCCTCTACGGCCTCCGCGTAAGAGCGCGGAGTCGGGATGTCAAGTGCATCCGGGTCTCCCTCAGGGGTAAGCAGTACGGACACGAGATGAGGTGAAGCAGTAGCCAGACACTGGAACTCCTCCTGCCTGTCCTCAAGGACGTCCGTGCCAAGGGCACACTCACCCCTGACGGACGGAGGACAGACAGACTCAGACTCAGCGACAAGACTAGCAGCAAAGTCTAGACGACAGCGAGTTGCAAAGTCGACGAGCTCAGCAACTAGGGCAGACGCAGCAGTGGACTCAAAAGAAGGGTCAGTGACGACAGTAGCAAGGAGACGCGTGACAGTAGGACTGGCAGCACGAAGAGAGTCCGACTTCGGGTCGGCAAGAGCAGGAAGAGAAGACTCAAGAGGAGAAGGCAAAGGGGCACGCAGAGGAGCAGTGGACGGACGCAGAGACATCCGGTGCGTGCCAGGGACAGGAGGAGGACGCTGACGCGAACCGCGACCACTAGTGTGAGCAGCACGGATAGGCGACGCAGGGCGAGACGCAGGCTCACGACGCTCAGCAAGACCTCCAGTAGGACCAGTGTAGGGAGACGGAGCAGGCAGTGGGGAGGCCGGTAGTAACTGGAGCAGCAGCTCTAGAGGCAACAGCAGAACCTCCAGTACCTGCAGCACCTCCAGCTCCAGCAGCTCGCCTCCAGCGCTGGGCAAACCACTCACGCAGCTCCTGTGGAGAGAGTGGCTCTCGGTAAGACGAAGCACCCGGAGAACCGCCAGGCACAGCACCAGCAGGCCCAGCTACCTCAGGCTCCGCACCCCCGGGCTCAGTACCTCCACGCGTAGCACCCCCAGGCTCAGCACCCCCAAGCTCAGCACCCCCAGGCGTAGCACCCCCAGGCTCAGCACCCCCAGACTCAGCACCCCCAGTAGTAGCACCCTCAGGCTCAGCACCCCCAGGCGTAGCACCCACACGCTCAGCACCCCCAGAGTCAGCACCCCCAGGCTCAGCACCCTCAGCAGCACCAGAGTCACCAGTAACCTCGACAGGCTCGACTGCGTCTACCTGGGACACACCTGAAGGGGCAGGACCCTGAGGGGGGAGAAGGTCTACCGGGGGGGGACCTGGCACAAGGAGGAGCGGTGGCGGGGGGAGGGACGGAGTGCGGTAGGGGAAGAGGCGGTAGTAGGGGACCGACTCGTCAAACGTGATGTCCTGGGAGGACAGAACACGGCGAGAGGTGGGGTGGTAGAACTGCCACCCTGGCGCGTCAGGGGGGAAGCCAAGGAAGACGCAAGGAGCAGCACGAGGGGACAGCTTGTCCGCAGACAAGTCGCGGACAAACGCCCAAGATCCCCAGACACGGAACGCAGACACATCGCCTACCTTCCCCGTCCACAGCAAAGCTGGGGAGGTCTCCGGCATGGAGACCCTGGGGTGAAGGTTGATCTGATGCGCCGCGTACCGAACCGCAAACGGCCACAGAAAATGGGGGGCAGCCGCATGCATCATGGACGTACGGGCGACGTCCATGACCATGCCAATGCGGCGCTCAGCAATCCCATTTTGCTGTGGAGAGTCCGGAAGCGTAAAGGTCTGGCGGATGCCTCGCGCACGACAGTAGGCTCGCAGAAGGCCGGAGGAGAACTCTCCGCCTCTGTCAGAGTGCAGACGCAGAACAAGAAAGTCCGAGCCGAAGCTCTGCCTGAGCTGGAGACGAGCTGCGCGGATCCAGTCGATCAACACCTCAGTGACATCACCCTTGCTGCGCAAGGGGAAGACTGTGGTATAACGCGAGTAGTCGTCAACCACCAGCAGGAAGTAGTGCTCGTGACCCTGTCCGCGGACGCGGGCCGGGCCCCACACGTCCATGTGAAGCGTCTGCAGCGGGGCCTCTGTCGAGGGAAACTGAGAGGAGTGAGGGGCAGCCCGCAGCCGCCCCTCGACACAAGGGACGCAGGTGGGGCCAGGCCCCGGAGGAAGGGGAGGGAGGGACCGGGGAAGACCAGAGACAAGGACACGGGAGGCCATGCCTCGGAGACGAGGCAGGGAGGGGTGACCAAGGCGGTGGTGCCAGAGGAGAGTCTCGTGAGACAGGAAGCGACACGAGCAGGGGGCAGACTCAAGACCAGACCTGGACGCTGCAGCAAACACCTGACCCGACGCAGCTACCTGACTGGACGCAGGGACAGAAGGAGACTCAGTGGTCAGGGTGTACAGGCTCGACCCCGACCGACGCGTAAACGTGGACAGGTGCCGGCCTGTGCGAGCGTCCGAGCAGTGAGTCACCCGCTGACTCGCAGGAGTAAACTAGTGAACCCCCGCATCCTGTAGGTCAGCACCACTCACCATGTTCGTAGAGAACGAGGGGAGGTACAAACCAGACAAGGTGCCAGAGGGGGCTGCCGGACACGGGAGGACAGTGGAGAAGTGAGAAAGGACAGGACCCCCAGAGGGGTCTACCAGGGAGAGTGCAACCGGCCGACCAAGCGGCGTGAGTGTGGTGCAGGCTCGAAAGAAGGAGCGAGAAGCCCCTGAGTCAAGTGTGAAGGTGAGGGAGGCCGAAGCCGACGCGGTACCTGCGAGCGCAGACTCACCAGCACCTGAGGACGCAGACGCACTAGCACCTAGAGCAGCAGCCTCACTAGCACCTAGAGCAGCAGCCTCACCAGTACCTAGAGCAGCAGTCTCAATGCCCAGGTCGGGCGGGAAACACTGGTAACAGTCACCCTCATCACTAATAGACACAGCATACATGGCAGAAAGGATAGCATCAAAATCAAGATCATAGATGGCAACTCCCGCCCTAGACAGCTCGCCCCAGCGAGGGATCTCTGTGGCCTTAGGGAACTGGTGACGCCACGCGTCCGTCAGGCGGCCAAAGCAGCGCTGGGTGGGGTGCGTACCCCCACACTGCTCACCCGCACGGTCGCCGTTGCGCAGGACGTAGGTGCACGGACCAAAGCCCCCACCCCGCTGGTGTGCTGTGTACCACTCACGGAGCTGCTGAGGGGACAAGGTCTCACGACCGCGCTGCTGCTGCTGGCGCGGACCACCACCGGAGCCACTCCTCTGGGTAGACCCGCGACCAGCTGCACCGCCACCCCCGCCGTCTCCGCCGCCTCCGCCGCCTCCGCCGCCTCCGCTACTACCGCCGCCTCCGCCGCCTCCTCCACCGCCACCACCTCCGCCACCTCTGCTCCCACCGCCACCGCCGCCGCCGCCTCCGCCTCCACTGCCGCCACCGACACCTCCACCCCCACCTCCACTCCCACCGCCACCCCCACTCCCCCCGCCGCCTCCACCTCCACCTCCACCGCCCCCGCTCGCTCCTCCAGCGCCCCTGCCCCCCTTGCCCCTGCCAGAGCGGCGTCTCCCGCTAGAGGCAGACGCCGCACCGACCGACTCAAGACCAAGGAGGTCGGCCGCAGCAGCAGAGGCAACAGAGGGCAGAAGGGGGGAGGGGGAACACCACTCAAAGATGGGGGTGCGCGGGTCACCACGAGAGGCCCCTACAGCGACTATGCTCTTCTCGGCCGCTAGGAGGGACTTCTCGAGGAGGTCAACGGTGAGAGTGGTGGGACAGACTGAGAGGAAGTGGTCCTTGACTACGCGAAGGGAGTCAGGGAGGCGAGTGACTATGTAGTAGAGAGTGATGTACATGGGGGGGGAGGGTTCTTGGCGCAGAAGTCAGCAGGAAGCGCAGCGCGGTAGCGAGTGTCACTAGTGCGGAGGTGCGTAATGAGGTCAGCGACTGTGGGAAAGGCAGCAAGGTCAGGGAAGTGGTACGGTAGCATGAGACGGCTCAGTGCAGCAGTGGCAGGGGAGGAGTAGCGTGTAACTACAGCGTCGTACAAGGTCTGAGCACTCTTGTACTGACTAAAGTGCGCACGCTCAGAGGTAGGGAGGTGGCGACGCACAGCAAGACGTGCAGCAGCATCGCGCGTGGCCCACTGTGAGCGAACAGTGGCGTCAGCATCAGCAGGAAGAGCAGGAGAGGCACCAGAGGTGAGGTAAAAGAGGGAGAGACCGTCTGCCCTATCGCACTGTAAGAACAGCTGCAGGTCATCTACCCAGACGTCAAAGTCAATGGCTCGACCCTCGGCGTCAAAAGCGAGGACACTAGGGGTAGCCATGACAACAGTAGACTAGCAGCGCTAACTGTAGAGCAGGGGCAGTGCAGTGACAGAGGCGCTGCGCTCACCAGACAGGGTGGTTCGGGCAGCTCGGGCGGCTCTGCAGCAACTGCGGCTCGGCGGCACCCGCGGCTCGGCTCCTTAGCTGCTCAGGCGGCTCGGGCGGCTCGGGCGGCTCGGGCGGCGGGGGCGGCTCGGGAGGCTCGGGCGGCTCGGGCGGCACGGGTGGCTCGGGCGGCTCGGGCGGCTCGGCTGGGTAGGCGGTTCAGGCGGGGCCGTAGGTAGGGCGACGGGGCCGGGTCGAAGGTAGGGCGACGGGGCCGGGTCGAAGGTAGGGCGACGGGGCCGGTGCGCATGTAGGGCGACGGGGCCGGGGCCGGGGCGCAGGTAGGGCGACGGGGCCGGGTCGAAGGTAGGGGGACGGGGCCGGGGCCGGGCCGTAGGTAGGGTGACGGGGCCGGGGCCGAGCCGTAGGTAGGGCGACGGGGCCGGGTCGAAGGTAGGGCGACGGGGCCGGGCCGTAGGTAGGGCGACGGGGCCGGGTCGACGGTAGGGCGACGGGGCCGGTGCGCAGGTAGGGCGACGGGGCCGGGGCCGGGGCGCAGGTAGGGCGATGGGGCCGGGGTCGGAGGTGGGGCGACGGGGCCGGGGTCGCAAGCGGGGCGACGGGGCCTAGGCGCAGGTAGGGCGACGGGGCTAGGGCCGGGGCCGCAGGTATGGCGATGGGGCCAGGGTCGCAAGAGGGGGGCGACGGGGCCGGGGTCGCAGGTAGGGCGACGGGGCCGGGGCGCTGGTAGGGCGACGGGGCCGGGGCGCAAGTAGGGCGACGGGGCCGAGGCGCAGGTAGGGCGACGGGGCCGCTAGGGCGACGGATCAGGGGCCGCTAAGGCAGCGCGACTTGGCCGCTAGGGCGGCTCGACGAAGTCAGAGAAGGGAGCGCGACTCGGGCAAAGCGCGCTCCGGGCAGGAAAAAAAATTTCGACTTGGTGGGCCCTAGGCACAGTTCCCACGAGGGAACCTGCTCGATACCATGAGAAAACTGAAACGAGAATGGATGACTAAGGAATGAAAGTGATACAAGTATGCAACCCTAGCATTTTGTACCCCATAAAGGCTACCCCACTACAGCCTACACAACATTATAATTTGACACATTTATATGCGAAACATGCAAACGGTAACGCGGTGCGTGCGAGCTAGCTAGTGCTACGCTGGAAACGAGGCTCGGGCTAGTCCCGAAGCGTAGGCCGACACGGCCAGGCCAGCAGTGCGAGGTTTGGTGAAACATTGTGCGCGAAGTCGGCGAAGCCCCGTTAGCAGTAACGGGCGAACAACGGCTGTTGCTGTACGCGATGTAGTCGGGCTCCGTAAGGAATGCCGAGAAAACTCCTTACAGATACAAAGATGTCCCGCAAAATAGCATCTTCATGTTCTCAAGGTGATGTGAAAAAGATGCAACCAGTGATGAACAAGAACCGGCCGGGGATCTATGACTGTTATGTACCCTAATACGTCAGCCGGGAATCGAACCCGGATCTTTTGCTTGGAAGGCAAATATCCTAACCATTGGACTACTGACGTGCTGGTTTCTTATATTAAGTTAAAAATAAGATCGTGGCAGCTCTCGAGACATCTATTTGTTCTGCTCTGTGTGCGCCTCGTCAACTTTAGCATTTGCTGAATGCTTGAAAATACAGTCTCAGAGCGATCTAGGCGAGATTGACGGAACGTTGGCGCGAAAACACTAACCCGAAGCCCCACCGTTTTCGCGCACCTCGCCTCCCTCTTCGCATCCCACAACGCCGCCATGGCGAAGAATCCCGCAGCTGCTCCATCGCCCAGCGGCACCGCTAACCCTAATCCTGTCGACATTGCAAATCCCGCCGCCGGGACCCGCGCCGACGCCAGCGCGGACGGAGTCTGCGGTGCCGGCGGAAGCGGCGTGGCGCGGAACGAGCGGAAGGAGCGGAGGGAGCGGATAGAGTCGCTGGGATGGCTGACGGAATCGGCGCTGATGCCGAAGAAGCAGCGTTTTATCGAGGGAGTGAGCGCGGGCAGCCTGGTGTCGCTGCGCGCCGAGCTGTACAAGAGCCAGGAGGACGCCAAGCGCGCCAAGGAGGAAGGCGGCGGGGAGCCGCGGGTTAGGCGCGCGGGAGGCGGAGCGGAAGGGGGGCCCGGGGACCTGTTTGGGGGGAGAAACGCGGGGGTTGAAGAACGCGCGCATAGGTGGGGCTGGCGCGTCTTCTGGTCTCCCGATCCCCGCCCTTCCCCGCCCTTCCCCTGGTCCCTCACCCATTCCCCACATTCTCCCCCTCCCGGAGGCGCACTGCAGCGAAGGGCGCAGAGCGTCGGGGCAGCCTCCCCTCTCTCCCCTCCCCTCTTCCCGACGCAACCTCAGTTATTTCCGCTCGCACTCGCCCCTCTTCTTCCCCCCAACTCACTCACAGATCCAGTGTCGCGAAAGGCGGACAGGGGCTCAGTGGGCAACGTGAAGCGCCAAGTCCCATCCATGCCACGATATGCTTACCCAGTCCCCGCCTCTTCCCTCCCCGACCCCCTTTCCCCGCCCCCCCCGCACCAGGGACGCGCTGCAGTGGAAGGCGGAGAGGGACGTGGCGGGACATCTGGAGCGCAAGGCAGCCATTTACGCGCGCCTGGCCAGGGGGGAGCGCGCCGATGGGGAGGGCGCGCAGGGGGAGGGGGCGGATTGGGCGGGGGTAGAGGAGAAGTACAGCGTTGACTTCCTGAGGCGGGGCACACTGGAGGAGGAGAAGCAGGAGATGGAGCGTGAGAGGCGGGGAGAGGCGGCGCTGCTGCTGGGGGGGACAGAGGGGGATGGGGGAGATGGAGGGAGGGATGGGGGCGGAGCGGCAGGTGTGGTTGCAGGAGGGGGAATGGCTTCCACACAGAGGGAACTGATCAGGTGGGCGCAGTGCCAGCAGTTTCCAACTTTCTTGCGCGTTTGGCTGTGACGTTTGCTTTCAATGTGGCACGATCGCACAGCGATGTTTGCAGGCACGGAGGGAGCAGTGTTTCTGATCGGCGCATCAGTCCTTTCTGCCTCTTGCGATGCATGGGATTGAGCAACACGGACCTCAGTTTTCGTCTTGTACCCCATGCACATCATTCCTGTACCTTTGTCTCCTTGCATCGCATCCCTCTTTATGGCTTGGGGACAGGGAGGTGATTGAGGAGACGCGGACAGCACGGGAGAGAGCAGCGCTGCTGAAGGCCAAGAGGCAGCAGCAGGCAGAGCAGAAGAGGGAGAAGCTTCGTGCTGCCTTCCTCAAGCAGCAGCTGCTGAAGGAGAAGGCAAAGAAAAAGGATTCAAAACAGGCAGGAGGAAAGGATGGGGGTGGGGAAGGAGGACACGCATAAATCGTTTGTTATGTTGTATATATTGTGTTGATCTCAGGCCTTCAAAGAAGCAAGCGCAGGCATCACTCAAATTCACGTTGTTATCAGAGCATTATTTCTTTCTCGTTATTTACTTGGAAACTATGCTAGTGAACCCAATTGTCATGTAGTGGTAAGCCTTCGGTATCGCATCGCGCTTCTGTCGCGAACCTTGGGATATTCGTGGACCTTACTGCTCGCCATTTCCTATCTTCGCTTTCCTCGCTGTCATTCCCGAGGCTCGAAATCCAACTCACGCAAACCCCTTCGTCCCTAGCCTCATCCAAAAACCATTTTCCATCTGCTGGATTCCTTCCTGAACACGCGGGATCGCCATGGCGGATGACGCCAAGGGGCCAGAAGGCACGGAGGAGAATCGCGACAATGCGCGCGAAACAGGCAAGCTTTCGATTCCCGTTTCCCTGCGTCGATTTCGGTGCTGTAGCGGCTGAGAACTCCGTTCTCCCCGTTTGATTTCGTAGTAGTTGCGGCTGTCGCTTTGGGTTGCAATCGGTCGTTTTCTCCGTGAATCGCTGCGTCTAACGCGTGCTCTGGTTCGCCTGCAGAGGAGGTCCGGGCGCTCAAGTCGACGCTGCGATTCCTCGTGTCGAACAGCGACGCGGGGTCCATCATTGGCAAGGGCGGCGTCGTGATCTCCGAATTCCAAACTCAATCTGGCGCGAAAATAGTGCTGTCACGCGCGCGAGAATACTTTCCCAACACCACGGACCGCATCATTCTCCTCAGCGGCAGCGTCAGCGCCATTCTCACCGCTCTCCACCTCATTCTATCCAAACTCGCTGATGTACGCACCCGGCTCCCATCCCCATCGCCGTCATCATCCCCAGTCCCGTCCCCATCCCACGTCCCCATCCACATTCACATCCCCATCCCCATTCCTTCCCCGTCCACATCACCACTCCCATCCCCGTCCATCCCCATCCCCGTTCTCTTTCTGCAACCTCGTTTCGTACTTCCTCTCGCGAACGAAAGGCGAACGCCCGTATGCTTCCTCCCTGCTTCCTGGATTCCATTCCTTCGTCGATATTTCGCCTCTCTGAAACGTTGCATGCCCGTATTCCCGTGCTGACAGGAGCCGCGGCGCAACGAGCCGGGCGCGCGGGAGGGCGACGCGGATCTCCGCATCGTGGTGCCCAACAGAGTGTGCGGCGCCATCATCGGCAAAGGCGGCGCCACCATCCGGTGAGGAGCCCTTCCGTCAGGTGCGACGTGGTGCCGTCAGGTGCAGCGTGGTGCTGTCAGGTGCCGCATGCTGCCGTCACTATGCCTTCCCCCCCCCACCCTTCCACGCCCCCCTCAACCTTTCCGCCATTCGTGCCGACTCCGTCTTCCCCGCGCAAGTCGTTCGTGGAGGACTGGTAGGCCACCATCACGCTGTCGCCTTGACGTGTTCTCACCCTTCTCTCCTCCATGTCGCCTCCTTATTCCCCCCCCTGCCTCCCCCACACCGCCCCTCCCCCACCCACGCAGGTCGTTCGCGCAGGACTCGCAGGCCACCATCAAGCTGTCGCCTAGATGTGCTCTTATGCAGCCCCTTCCTCGCAACTTCCTTATCCTCCCCCGTTGCCTCCCGCGGTACCGCC